TTCAGGCCGAGCAGTAGCATCAGCAGCCTGGATTCCCCACACAGCTTTCAGATACTGCGAACATAGTATATTAGGGTTACAAAAGGGATAATGGAAAAGAAAATGGAAACTGCTATAGTATATTAGGGTTATATTGGGGTTATATTGGGATAATGGAAAAGAAAATGGAAACTACTATAGTATATTAGCGTTATATTGGGGTTATATTGGGATAATGGAAAAGAACATGGAAACTACTATAGCATATTAGGGTTACATTGGGGTTATATTGGGATAATGGAAAAGAAAATGGAAACTACTATAGTATATGCTTAGAAGGTGCTGCTAGAGGCCGAGGCTGGTGTTGTGGCTGAGGCTGAGGAGCCAGCAGCGCCGCAGGTGCGACGGAGTGATGAGCCCTCATGCCTCGCACACCTTTTTTTGTTTGTGGGCCCTCAACCCTAAACCCTAAACCCTTAAGGCGCTTGCCAGTGTACTTTGCAGGGCTACTATCAGGATCCCCTCCTCCATTCCCTACTACCACCACCGGCTACCAAACAACCAGTAAGTTGGGGGGAAAGGAGTTGCAGACCTTCAGGCTCCAAAGGCCACGGCAGCAAAGTCAGCTCCATGGTCCAAGGCCTGGCTTCCGAATCAACGGATCCCCATACCCTAAACCCTAAACCCTATGTGAGCTATAGTCTGAACTCCCTGAAGGGGGGTTGTATAGGGGATTATATATGGGACTACTATAGGGGTTATTAGGGGGGATACTAGCAGTTTTGACAATGGCTCACGGGATTATACGGGGCCATGTAGGTTTAGGTCTGAACAGTTACCAAAGAAGTGGAGAGTCCAATTTGGAAAGTAGAACAGTAACTGAGGTCCCTCTAAAGGGGTTATAGCCTCTTTCGGGTTTAGGCAAGTAGGGATTAGACAGAAGCAGAATCATGTCTATGGAAAAGAAAGTGCAACGTGAAACGGAAACGGGAGTTATGTAGTGTATCAGGAGGACATGCGAGGACTGGCATGGGGCCATGATGAGCAGTCCAAGCTATTGCCATCTCTTGCAAGGGCAAAGGTGGCGGCAAGCAAGATGAAAAGGACAGGTTTGGAGGAGATGTCGCACGCCTGCTCTAGGCAGCCAGCCTCCAGTTTGTTCCAGCCATTTTGGCGCAGGACCGGTTGACAAGGCGAAGGGCGCAGTCGAGGTCGCAAAGATAGACATCAAGACGGCGCTGCGCTTTCTCGAGGACCTGTCAGCATCACTTGAGTATTGCTGATCAGCCCTTGTATTGTCTGTGGAGGCTCAGACCCAGCAGGGCAAGTTGCCAGAGGAGGAGAAGTTGCTTTGCGCTTTGCTCCACCCGCATGCATGTATGTGTGCATGAACGGATGGATGGATGGATGGATGGATGGATGGATGGATGGATGGATGGATGGATGTGTGTATTTGGGCTTATCGGTAAACGCATCGGCTTCTATGGTTCCGTTCTTGGCACAGGAAGCAGCTGACCTCCGGGAGCGCATAGAGGTAGCACGGACACGGTCTGATGCTTAGATCTCCTCTGCTGAAGTGAGGACCAGAGTAATTAGTCTCCTAGATACACCCTTTGTAAGGACTCCCATGATCTTTTTTGTGTTTCCCCCACATCCCTGAAGCCCCCAAGGACAGTGTTGCAGCTAGTTGTGCCAAGCAGAGCTATGGCAAACACGGTGGAATCCGGAGGCTAGATGTTGTGGCGGCTTCTGCGGACCGCGCAGCAGAAAAGAAAGGCATCTTGCAGCTGTTGGGAGATGCCGACAAGAAGGCGGGGGGAGGATTACAGGGTACCGATTAAAAGTTGATTTGGCAGCATGATACCTGGTATTTTCCCCAAGCTGGAGGACCCCAATATAGACCCCAAAATATTATTGTACTGCTTATAGGGATCCCTATTTTAGGAAACCCACACATGGGAGGTCCTGGAGGCTGAAAAGGCCGTCGAGGCTGCCGCAGAGCTGGCAGTGCCACTCCAAGAGCTCATGGCCAGCGAGGACGGGCCGGGGGGACGGTTGGGTCAGGCAATGTGACCTGTAGTCTAAACTTCTTGTGTAGATGTGCATATCGTGGATTATTATAGGGGTTATGGAGGGGGATACAATGTTACAAGGAGTTTAGGCTACAGCTCATGTGAAGCTTCTGTTGCTGCCAGACATGGGGCTTCTCATTGCATCGTAGCCGAAAAGCTGCTACCCAGACCCTCCAAAGGATCCAAAGAATGGGACCCCTTAATAATCCCCTAGGTTCCGCAATGTCTGTAGTAGTGGAACATTTTTTTAAGGGGAGGGGGTTCAATTTTGGGGGATCCTTAGGGAGTTTGGGTAGGCAACGCGCTTTGGCATAATTTGCGTGGCTGTGCAGGACAAGCGGCCTGCAAAGAGTTCAGGCCTTGTCTTCAGGGAACAGGTCCTCATAATATACCCTTTTATAGCCCCTATATTATATACCCCCCTAGAGTAACCCCTATATAACCCTATAAATCCCAACTTACATATTTTTGTATATACAGATATTCATATATAGACCCCTGTTAAAACCCTTAAATAGCCCCTATGTATATATACCCCCTATTATGATCCGATCATATGCTCGATTATAATATACTATTCCTAAGCTCTCCGTTGGCTGGGTACTGGTCTCTTGCGCTGCATTGCCAGGAGAGAAGCAGGCCACTGAGGAAAAGGATGAGGAGGAGGAGGAGGCAAAAGAGGAAGCTAAAGAGGAGGAGAAGGTCAAAGAGGAAGAAGTCAAAGCTGAAGAGGGTGAGGAGAAGGTGCCACACGTGAATCGGTGGATTCAACTCCGGGTACTGACCTCTTGAACTCCTTGATGAATTGGAGTATTCATCACAGGATGGCGAGGAAGCAGCTGCTTCGCCTTTAGAGGAAGCCTTGGCAGTGCGATGCCCAGAGGGCCATGCACACTGCAGCACTTGGACTTAGCTTGACTGTGCCTTGCTGCAGGCCATGAATGCCACCGCGCAGGCCGGCATGAAAGGGTTTGTGGTTTGCAAGACTTCGTAAGAGCTCGGCGGGGATTGGCTGACAGGTAGCCAGCAGGCAGCTTAGCCCAGAGCCCAGCAACGGCTTTGATGAGCACTTTTGAGAGCCGCCTCTTACGACAGATGGCCGTATGCATTCAGGCAATGCTAAAACCACATTGGCAGTCAAGCGGATCTCGGTCAGATTCCAAGCTGGTTGGTTTTCGGAGAACTGCCACCGCAGTCTTTGGCCTCTGGCTTGGGTAGATAGGTTTTGGGACTAAAGGTGTACCCCTTTTGAAGCACTGGCGTTACTACACCACGCTTGGGTGCACTGAAAGGGGATTATTATGATATCGACGACAGTGATGCAAAGACATTTGGACCAAGGCCAAGCGGCTGCCAGGAAATGCTCCGGCAAGCTGGGCCTTGTTGGACAGGGGTGCATTGGGAACTGCTCACTTGCCAGCTGCTTTTCGTTGAGGACCCCTAGGCCCTAGATGGGCAAGTCTTTTGTCCTGGCTTATTTCACGTTTTCCCTCTCCATCCCTGTCATCTTTACCTTGATCAAGCAATGGCGCACAATTTTGCGTTTCTGAAAGCCATGTGGCTCAAGGCTAGAGAAACAGCAGTTTTGATGAGGCAGCTGGCTTGAGTCCTGGCAAGTCCTGGCGAGCCTTCGGGCCCTGCCATCTCGCCAGATGATCTTCGGCTCATGTCTGGCATCACACCAATTTGAGGGTCAATTGCTTGCGGAATCTGTCTTGAGAGTTCGGAGTCGTAGCCATGAACAAGCTGCGGATCTTAGAAGCAGAAGGTATGTCCGCAAATGAAGCCGCTAGGCACAAGCATGAACCCGGGTTTGTACCCACCAGTAAATCAAACAGATCCATCCATCCATGTCCATCCGTTAAGCTGGACTTGATGAGCTGCACAACCTAGTTGATAGCTGCCAGCAGAAAGTTGTGTCGCAGCCCAGGAACTCTTTAGATCCAGCTGCCGCCGCGGCCGCTGCAGCAGCGGCTGCGGTGCCAGGGATGCCTGGTGGGGTGCCAGGGGCCGGGGCCATGCCGGGGGCCGTGGCGGGCTGCTTGTTTTCGTTATTGAGCTGATGTCTGGCTGAGCTCTGAATCAGAAGCGTTTGAGCTGGCCGAGGTATTCCGAGCGCCCTGACCCAGGCCATCCCTGGCACTGCCGCCTTCGACCTCGCAGCTGCATCGCTGTCACTTGGCTTAGCATCTTGCAGCGAGAAGCTTGGAGTTGTCTTCCGGCGAAGGATGTCAGCAATGCCGGGCTTCGACCCGTCCGCATGGGCAGGCCAGGCCAGCAACAGAGCTGCAAACTGCAGATTTGTGGTGCACACTGAGAGACTGAGGTATCGCCTTTCCGTCTTTCTTGCCATCTCCTGGCTCATCTCCAGATCTCAGCCAGCAGCTGAAGGAAGCGCAGGCTGTGGCATCTTGGCAGAAGGCTTCCAATGGTTTCGGCCAATGCATAGCCAGCCAAGGTGAGCAGCAAGGAAAAGACAGACAAGGGGGAGAGAGGCGACAAAGTGGACCGAAAGAAGGCGCCTCAAGCACCTCAAGGCACGTTTCTGAAGGTACTGGTGGTACGTAGTTCGGTTGGGCCCACTCCAGGGCCAGTTACCAGTTACCAACTATTACAAAGTCAGCAAGGAACCTCTCCTCCTGCGCGACTCACGATTGAGCCCCTCAGCGGCTGCTGTGTTACAGCTTCTCTTCTTTTCCCGGTTAACCCACAGAATTGCAAGCCTACATGCAAACTTAAGCAATGCTGCAAGTGCTTTGCTGACGGGACCAATGCCTTACGCCTGCATCGCCATGCAGCTACGACAACTTGTGTACTTGCTCCCTGTTTCTGTTTCAACATGACATGATACGAACGTGCATCCGCCTGGATTCAGAGAGCTCGCTGCACCTCATGTGCTCAAGATCCGGAATAGGGGCTGTGACAGGTTCGCAGTTGTTGCCATGGAGGGGTTCAGCATCCAAAAGCATGAAATCATTTTCGAGGGCTTCTTGGTGAGACAGGCGAATTACCTGCAGGAATGGAGGCGGCAGTGGTGTGTGCTTACTCCAGAGTACTTCTGCAGCTTCAAGTCCCGAAGTGACTACACCAATCCAACGACTGTCATCAGATTAGACCAGTGCCTGTCCATCAGCTCTGATCCAGCAAGTGATGGGCCTGGTGCATCCTTCTGCGTGACAACCCGGGAGCAGGTCATGTGGCTTCTTGCAGAAACTCCTCATCTCCGGAATAACTGGATGGCCCGCCTGGGCCGTCAGCTCCTACCCTGCGACGAGTTTGCCTAGACAGGTGGTCTCTGCAGTTTGGAGTCTGGCTCGATCCTGCTGACATCCAGTGTTTGAGCTGCACATGTGAACTCTGCGCTGCTCCTGGGAATCCTCGGGGATTTGGGGAAGCATACTGCCGTGGACCAAGGGGTCCATGTTGTGTGCAGAATACAGCGCAGTGCACGTCTAAGACGCGCAAGTTTGACATGCAGCTGAATTTGACAGGTTAGGTTGTACTTGGTACGTTAACGCCTCATGCAAATGTGGAGTTGAAATTGGTGCGTCAGCGACTTTTCCGGAGTTCGCCGGGAGGCCGCGGTGACCATGAGGTAGACTTGCACTCAATCTATTTGATGTAGACCTGCGCCTAGCAAAGGCGCCAAAACTGCTGCGCAGAGGAAAATTGCTGCTCTTCAACTCTGGTGTATATTCTGCATTTGGTGACGTGACATGCCATCATGAGAGGTGCTTACCAATTTGGCACAACTTCTTGCTTCTGCAGGTGGAGACGTGCTCCGGTTGCGAGGACTGCCATGGTCTGCAGGGCCATCTGAAGTGGCACAGTTCTTGCATGAGTCCCTTGGCCTTGTACAGCCCAGAAAGCTTTCGGGGAGGGAAGGACCAAGTTTGGCATTTCATGTGGAGGCTCAGTTGACTATGTCGTTTTGCACGCAAAGGATGCTAGGGCTTGCAGTTGAAAGCTTCCGGTCTATTATTCTGAGGTATGGGGTTACCGACAGGGATGTGACCATGTGCGTGACCGAATCTGGTCGACAAGATGGCCACGCCTGGGTTCTCCGCCAGCACGTGGCCATGCACAGGAATGCAGCCTGTAATTGTCCAGTGCGGCTGGATCCTTGAGGTAGTGTTCCAAAGTAGAGACGTGGCCAAGAAGGCCATGCAGGACGCTGCTATCGCTAGTTTCTTGCGTTTGCCTTGTCCCCGCTTCGCAGTCCTGCCTTCTCTGGCTAGAGGAGAAGCAAAGACAAACCATTGGCGGTCGGTTCATCGAATTGTTCCAGTGGAAGGACCACTCGAAGGCAGGGAGGGTCATGCAAAATTGGAGCGCAATTTCCTTTGCTGCGCAACCTCGATGAACCACCGAGTGTCTAGGAGAAGACAGCGGTGGCAAACACCACGACACTCAGAGATGGTCAACAGCCAGCAGGACTGGGCCATGCGCACACAAATATTCCCTGTGAAGCTCAGGAAAGTTTATACCGGGATTCTCAAGCACTTTGACGCCCAGCGGAAGTGTGGATACATCCACTCGCCAGATGCAGAGGTGACGAATGGGGTGTGTTCACAGTCTCAGGAACCCCAACAAATTGTGCTTTCATCTGCTTTCATGTGCTTTCTGCATCAGGCGGACATAGGCAAGCAGGACATCTATGCCTTTAAAGATGTGCTGGAGCGTGGCAAAGCCTGCGTGGGTGACACGCTCGCTTTCCCACTACACTGGTCTCCAAAGGGACAGCCTCAGGCTTCTTCCCCCCTGATTCGCCGCTTGCTGGATTTGCATTTTTCATCGTTACGGTTTTAGGAGTGGGTACTCTTCTCCCCTAACATCACACCCCATCCCCTTATCATTAAATATTCCCATTAAAGGCGCATTCCCACTATGTGGCATATGATATACCGTATAATGGGAGTATTTCGTATTAGGGGTTGGGGGGGTTTTGTATTAGGGGGAGGGGTTGAATACAGGGATGCCTCTCTTTATGACATCTTGTGTCGCAGCAGGCATATCAGCCAGGAAAAGCTATGCCCACACTGGCAGCCTGGCAGAAAAGCTTCTGAACCTGTGCTGCTGTTGAGGAGTTTAAAGTAAGCTGCAGCAATACGGAAACTATAGTATGTACATGTATGTACTATCTACCCCTATCAGGGTACTATATACCCATATTAGAGGACTCAGATTTGAGTCCCTGGACAGAAGCCCAGCAACTTCAGACATGTGAGGCAACTTCAGGCTTTCGCCTGCAGACATGAGCGGCCGACAAGCGGGCATGATCGAATGCGCAGAGGTGGGCAGTTATTTCTACAATCCTACGTATCAGTAAGTGTTATTACAGTCTTTGTTTGTAGCTTCTTGTCTGAAGACTCAACGTTTTCGAGGGCGTAGTGTGAATAGCCGCTTTCCCGCTTCAGGTCAATCAAGTCTTCGGGCGCACAGTCTACGTCGGCCCGTCCTTGGCGGCCACTTTGACGCCAGGCAAGTGAGAGCAGGACTACTGTAACGGTAATAGTCACAGTTATAGGAGCAGTAAGAGTAATAAGAACAGCACTAGTAATAGGGATAGTAAGAGTTGCAGTAACAGTAATAGTCATAGTCATAGCAATAGTAGTAGTCCTGCCTGGGCCTGCTGCAGCTCCGTAGTAGTCTGGCTTCCAGGCACCTTTGTGGCCTTCAACTGCTACTTGATGTCGCTGCCTGCGGCGTTTGCCCGGGCGCCGCTGGACGGTACCAACGTCCCAGCGGTGGCCTTGGAAAGCGGGTCCCCAATATAGGCCGTAATAAAGTATCATTCCTATTCTTGGGACCCCCAAGATGGTACCCCTAATTTTGGGAAACCCCCACATTAACAATGATGACAATAGTAATCCTGACTTTGATTGCGAAGACAAGACCCCCTATGTATGGAAATGATGACGTTGCGATGCTTTAGAGGGGTTCTAAACCTTGCCATCCCATATGTTTCCTGAGGTTTGTAGTCACGCCATCATGGTGGAGACAAACTTCATCTCCCCAGGGCCAGAGCTCAACGAGACAAAGACTGCAGAGGGGTTTGACAGAAACCCTGGCATCAGAGATCTGGTTTCTGCGGATGCAGACGGAGAGGTTTGCCGCTTCTTCGTGCAAGCTGGCTGGTGTAAGTACGGCGATAGCTGCAGACATAAACATGTTCAAGGAGCACCGCGGTTTGCAGCTAGTATGGCTATTTGAAGCGAAGATAGACTGAGTTGTCTTTTGATTGCCACAATCTACGCAATGTTTCGCCGCAAGTCTTCTGCTTGAACTGCAGGGGAAGGGCGCAGCAGCGCCGAGGGAGATTTGCGCTTTCTTCCAGAAGTCTGGCTGGTGCAGATTCGGCGATGCCTGCAAGCATGCGCACGTGCTGGGCTCTGCCCCTCCCCCACCCCCGCCCATGGCACCTTGTGGACCAGGCCCGAACATGGGCCAGGTGCCAGGCGGAATGATGCCCATGGCACCCATGGCGCCCATGGGCCCCATGGGGCCCATGTATTGAGAAAGGTCAAGGAGTCCATGCTCAGAGAGTCGCGGGCCACTGCCAAAGGAGCAGTGGCAGAACCTCACTCCGCCGTTGACAAGCCGAAGGTCCTGCCATGTCCAGCGTCGCCGCCAGTCGCACGAAGGAGGGCTGCCTGCAGCTGACCACATCGCGTCGAGCTGCAAAAAAAGTAGGGTGTTGAAGCTGAAACGGGCTGTCTAAACTGCTGGGGCTCCCTTCAAACTGCCTAGTCAGTGGATCCCGTGCCTGAGGTGCCTTTTGTGCTTTTGTGCGTGTGGGTGTGCTTTTGAGCCAGGCTGCCTGCTTGGAGCAGTTGGATGCCTTGAGCCCGGCACTGCAAGCATCGGATGGGCTAGCAGTAGTAGTAGTAGTAGTAGTAGTAGTAGTAGTAGTAGTGGTGGTGGTGGTGGTGGTAGTAGCAGCAGCAGCAGCAGCAGCAGTTCGGTGTGCTTTTTTGTCAGAGGAATGTCGGTGGAGCATCATGTCAGTCCACACTCACTACTGGTTCGGTTGGGTGAACTGCTTCTGTCTATTGAGCTTTGGAATCCCAGATGGCGTCAGGCTCTCCAGAAGCGCCTCGATGCCGCCATGCGGCGATTGGCGGAGGCAATGAAGCCCCTGAAGCACGCGCATGGCCAAACTTTGGTGTCGTGGGTGAGGTGCGCAGAGGAAGCACTGACCGGCAGTATGCCAAAGCCAGAAAGGCACCAGCAACCATGGTCAACTGTCAAATGCTAGCTTGCCAGGATCTGAGTGTTCTTCAGTCAAATCTTGCCACGCCACCTTGATCTGTGCCGCAGCTTGATTTCTAGACAGTCTAGTCAAAACAGACCCACGGAAGCCGGAGAGAGGTTTGTGTTTCAATCAGTTCTGAGATTTACCCAGCCAAACTCCAGAGTAGTTAGCAGACTTTTGAAGAACCTACTGTGAGTGGGGTGCCAGCAAGAGGCACCTTGAATAGCGAGCAAGAAATTTGCAAGAACGAAGAGATTCATCTGCAGTTTGCTGCTAGATGCTGGACGTCCTTGACGTTTGTGCCCCATGCTTGCGTGCCAAGCTGCGGAGAGGGTGCTGTGGCCCCCCGGAAGTGAGGCCCGAATCCTCCGGCAACTGCGGCCGGGAGGCTCGCCGCACTGGCTCCTGACCAAGGAAGCGGCGCCCCTTGCAACTTTGGCGTCCTTGGCGTCCTTGGCATCTGTCATGTCCCGTACATCCAAGCTGCGCCGGGGCCGGGCTGCTAGACCGTGGCGGAGGTTTTGCACCGCACCTCTCAATCCAGCGCTACAGACGCCGCAGACGTGGTGTGCTGTCTTCATCAACCTGGCACGCCGAGCTGACAGACGTTTGCAGTTAGTGCATGTCCTGGCTGAAGCAAACTCTGCCGTTCTCTCTCGTTTGCTTCGCGTTGATGCTGTAGATGGACGGGCTCTGGATCTAGAAAGCCCCGACCTACTGGATTACATTACGAAGGAGGCTCTTGAAGTAGCGCAGGAGGCTCAGAGGGTCGGTGCGCACACAATCGTCCACAAAGATGGCGAACTTGTGAAGTTCCATGATCATCTGACTGCCGGCGGCGTGGCATGTGCGATGTCCCATTACAAGGCTTTGCGCACTGTGGCAGAGCACCCCACGGCGGAGTGGGGACTTATCCTCGAAGATGACATTCAGGCGCTGGTTCCTGACGTTCACGAAGTCATCGCTAAAGCAGTGCAACGCTTGCCCGCCAGCTGGGATGCTTTGTTTTTGGGCTACCACGGTGGCGTTCTTGATGGCTTTGGACCTGGAGGGAGAGACACGGAACAGGAACATACGCGGGCTCAGTTCGAACTGCAGATCGATGAGATGCGTGGTGTGGATGGTTTCTGTGGCAGCGTAGACAGAGGGCTGCTTTCAGAGGAGGAGGTGCCAGTGCTCCGAATGTACAGCCCGCTGTATGGCCTCTATGCCTGGGTCGTTCGGAAGGAAACTGCTGCTAGGCTCTTGCAGGAGGCTTTCCCTGTGGGCGGGCAAGTTGACCATGCCTTGTCCCTTTGGTTGGTACAGAATGGTCATAGCTTCAAAGTGGCTCCAAGGCACCTCCTGTTCTTCAGTCCCAAGAGTGAGGTAGGCTTGGACTCTGACATTCAGACCATGGCTCATCTTGATCACTTGTTGGCAGATCCTGAGCATTGTGAGGAATATATGGCTTTCATCAATAGTATCCAGAGCGCGGAGAACCCTGAAGCGGCTTGAAAAGATTTTGCGTTCTTGGTCGGATTTTCATTGCTGGATGGGCAGCATTCTCCCTGACCGCCCAAAATTCAAAATACCATGATGCAGGCCATGGCTCAAAGCATCGAGTTGGCTGAGGCCAAGGCGCTGGTGGGATGGACAGGAGTCGACTGGTTTTTCCAGTTGTTAAGCAAGACCTCAGGATGTGTTGCGGGCGCGCCAGGTGGAAGCTTCGAAAGAGGCTTTCCAGGCTTTGATGGATCTTCCCGAGGACTTTAAACATGATCGGTGCGCAGCCAGCCTTCGGCACTCCGGTCTGATCAGGATGCCGAGCCTTTGCAGATGCAGTCCGTCCTGTCAAAGGCTGCAGCTGCGCAGACAGAGGCGAGGGTGGAAGGAATGATAGGCACAGTCCTGTGTTTTAGCCATTGGACTTGGCTGGGCCTGTGTTGCGTTTGGCCTGCGGACTAAGGCCACCACCGCCATCCAAGCTGCGCGAGTGCCCTTGGTTGAACGGCCTGCTCCACAGATCCGGGCGAGGCTTTTCTTGACCTTCGCGGCACTTTGTCACCGTCAGGCTTCAGAAGGCAAAAGCAGATGGAGCCTGTGGCCCAGCGAGTGCTGCAAGTCAGTGGCAGCTCCACATGGTCCGCTTCAGGTCACAACCGACACCTCTGAGGTACTCAAAGAGTTCCAGGATGGATGGGACTTTCGAAGCCAGAGATAGCTCTGACTGGTCCAGCATGCCCTCGTGTAGGAGATGTTTGCCAAGCTTGCACCGCTGCAAACCAAGTTGGACGAGCAGAGGCCGACCCACTGCAAGTCTCGGGCATAGGACACTTCATGTGGTTATACAGGGTACAAAGATTCTGGCTGTTCTGCAGGCGGGATGCAAACGATAAGGAGCATCGATTCGTTGCCACCTGCCTGCCGCCGCAGCATGTTTATGATGGGTGGGGCGTCCGAAGCTTGAGTATCGGCCAGGTGTAGCACCACGGCTAAGATGGACTAATGCATCAACATGGCCCACTTTTGAGCCATAGTCAGCCGAAAGACTCTGTGAGCTTCTGGCGCATGTTCCTGTAAGCATCGCAGTGGTTGCCAGGATGCAGGAAGCAAGTGAGATGTTCAAGGTGCTGGATGACAAGCTCCCTCACTGCATGTGGTTGCATTCTGATTCATGCAGGAAGCGGACCTGGAAGCAATATTAAAGGAACAAGTGATTCTGGCATTCTAGGTTGGAGAAGCTTAACGAGACAGCCGCCATGTTCACCGCAAGCAGGGGGGAGGTCGCTGCACTTCCAAGCTCCACATTCTTAGCCGTTTTCCGCTCACCATCTGTCAGGAATTGCAAGCCTTGGTGCGTTTGGGCCACTTGCTGGAAGTGTGAGGGTCTCAGCATGCAGTGCTTGTTGACCTGCATGAGGGTTCTCCTGTTGTCTCGGATGTGCTGTGCAAGCTTGTGGCCAGGTTGCGACGCCACATGGCTGCAACCTCCAAGACCCCTGCAGTTCTCTTTGCGGAGTTGGAGACGCCCTCAACTGCATGGTCTCTTTTGGAATGGCAGCTTACTGCAAGTACAGCATGCTGCTGTCTCTGTTGAGGCCAAGGCTTCTGGAGAAAGCAGCCGCTTGATGCCTGCAGGATGGCTGAAGCAGGGTATCAGATGAGCCTACCGACCAACAGCTAGTTCTGCGGTAGTCAAGTGCTGCAGTTGAGATGTCCAGCTCAAATTTCTCCTACTTGATGCAACATCCACGCGCTGCAGGAATTGTGACGGCCCTGAAATCATTGCAGCCAGAACCGCCTGACCTGCCCTTAGAAGACGACCGCTTTGGGACTGGCATGTGATTTTCCTGGACCGCCGTCCCTGTTTGAGTGCCTCTGTGGCACAACCATGGTTGCTGAGGATTTGGCTGACTTGCTCGGTACGGAGGAGGAGTGAGCTGAGCAAAGTAAAGAGGTTTCTCTTTGGGGAGTGCAGCTCGAAGTGTGTCTACGGTTGTCGAACAATCGCGTGACAAAAGTTAGCTCGTAGCGATTGCAACTTTCATTGTGTTTATGTATGGTTGCTTGGTGCACTTGGTCTGCAGGAGCAGGAGCAACTACCAGCCGCTGTCGCACAAATGGATCCAGAAGAGGCAGCCAACGAGGACAGCAGCATTCAACCAATTTTCTCTTAAAATAATCGCCGAAGCATTGCGCTTGGGGTTGTTATAGTTGTCAGAAGCACTGTCGACAGCTAGGTTCTTGACGGCTCCTTCTAGTTGATAGCAGCCAAGCTCCTGCAGGGCGTGTTTAGTACTGAGGGGGCGGTCTGGCATCACAGCGCGAAGAGTTCACACTTGCATTTTCTGAGTCTTGGCAGTTGCAGATACCCAAAGCCCTAAAAAACTAGACTAGACTCCTTGACAATCGTACGACCCCCCGCCTCCCGCACAATGCATTATCTGTGTTTGCTGTATGTGCAGGACGGCGGCGTCTCTTCGGAGAAGTTTGGTGCCCAGCAGGATTGTCCTTGGCTGCCAGACTTCTGCATGCCAGTTAAGATTAATTTGTAGGCGGAGAACTAGTAGTGACGGTAGTAGTGGTGGTGGCGTTGACAGAGGTGGTGGTGGTGGTGGGTAGCACTAGTAGTAACAATAGCACTGGCAATGATGTCTCAGTAGTATCTTTGTAGCAGACAGTCAAACCAATCATCATCCTCCAGATCACTAGCAGGAGTGGTCGTGTCATGGTGGTTGTTGTGTTCCTTTGACGACGGTGGCAATAGTGGGTGTTGTGGTGGTAGTCGTGTGTCTGCGCTGAGAGTGGCCAACATCTCTGCCCTGCTCTCAAACTGCGGAGCACCCGAACAACTCAGGTTCGAAGAGCACATGAAGCTGTCCTACCTCTGTGTCGGAACCTTGGGGGGCTAGCGGTGCTGGGGAGGAGAGGGCACCTTTTCAGTAGCCCGCTGCAGGTGTTCCAAGTGTCAGGAACAGGGCCGCATTCAGAAGGCATTATAGCTGCTGGGCAGATAATGCCAGCAATTGCAGCGAATAGGACGTAAAGGAACCAGATGAGTCAGTCACGACTTAAGTTATGGCAACATTACCTGTAAAGCATTCATACTTGTAAAGCGCGACAGCAATAAACTCTTCGACGTGAAGCATGGCCGGAGGAGACCTAGTCACAGCAAGTGAAGATGCGCGACCGAAGTGTTTTGGGACCCTGCAGCATAAGTGTTTGGTAGCAGTCTTTTTGCTAGACGGGAGGCAGTCAGCAGTAGCAGTCTCGGGCATCCAGAGGATTCGGGAAGCAGCAACTGGCTTGTTCATAGCTAGTCTGCAGATTGTCAAAGTGGCATCAGAGACGATGTCATTCTTGTTTTCTGTTTCATCTATGTACAGCTACTGTCAAACATGACCTTGTTGTCATGTTCCAGGGTTCTCATGAGTTGGACGATTGCAGGTGGCAGTTGTGACAATGACCTCGGCAAAAGAGGTGCGGCCCTCAGACTGCTCCAGAGAAGGCTGCCGTGAATCTTTTGGTTCTCTCCGGAGTCCCTACATGAGGGATCCTGCTGTTTGAAGGTGTGCTCAAGCATTGGTTATTGCGTTGCTTACGTTTTGTTCTCAACAGGTTGGAAGCGAAACCGTCCGAAAATTGGAGGTCAATGAGGTGCCCAGCATTGTCAGCCCTGTTTTGGTGAAGTTGCCCAGATGCTGACGAGTGAAGCAATGACCCAGAATCGGCACTCACTGCAGCAATTTGTGCCGAGCCTGTCAGCCCCTGCTGCAATCCCAGAATGGGCCCTCAAAGCCCATCTTGCGACACGAAGTCCATTATGCCCCAGGCTTCCACCCATGAATCCAAGTAGATGGCATGAGGCGGTAGCCTCTCCAAGTCACCCCAAGACATCATCAAGGCCTTGCAAACTTAGCCCTGTAGGTCCTGGAAGCTTTGGGTGCAGCTCGCCGCGAACCACAGAGTGGCCTCGTAAGAGTGGCTGGGTCTGCAAAGACACGGAAGCGGAAGTTTCGCGCTGTTAGGAGAGCGGAGGGCTTGATGTGTAGGATGACAAGGATGGGCAGCTGCCCTTTTTGGATTTGTTCCTTCCTGACTTAGCATGGTGATCAGCCAGCTCTATCCAAAGAGAACTGTAAGACCAAGAAAGTGTGCGCAGATTCCAGGTCGAATGCAAAGCCCAGGACGACTCCCAAGGCAGAGACTTCTCTGTTCAGTCCGTCGTCAGCAGCATTGTTGAACTTGTGTAGACTCGGCAGGCTTCGTAACTATTGCTGGCTCTGGTGGTACCACGTACCTGGAGGCATAGCTCGTGAGCTACGAGTCCTGGTGCATTGGCACTTGTCCTTTCCCAGGTCTACACGCCATTCATGGCCTGCGTGTTGGCCCAAGGCTTTTGACCTTTTTCCGCAGACAGAGCCACACCAAGAAGGAGAGACGCTAGAAATCTCCAAGGCGTGCTGTACGTCGTAAGAACCCCATACCAAGCACCTGTATGTTTTCAGGCATCCCCACCAATTCTTTACTGTCCATGGCCTAGGTGAGGAAAGCTGAGGAAGCGCTGGCGGACTCCTACGAGTCAGTCCAGCTCACGGGATTTTTTGTGATGGGACTACCTTCCCGTCAACCGAAATTAGGTATGTACAGGAAGGGGGCAGATGGAAGAAGAATCATTGAAATCTTGCAGAACTCAGCCAAGGTCAGCCAAACAGTTGCATACCTGAAGCAGAAGCATGACGAGTTGAGAAGTACTCGTCGATGGCCTCAGTTGTCATAGAGTGCGCCAACTTCTAATCTAACGACAATGAATCTGTAGGCTTCTTTCAACTGAAAGCCCCACCTTCACGACTGCCATGAGCATATAGTCCCCCTTAAGTAGATAGAATATGGCTTTGGGGTATATTAGGATAAGACCCCCATATATCCCATATTCTATCTACTTAAGGGGGACTATAGGTGGTGCTGCCGCGCTTCAGGACCTCAAGGAGCATTGGGTTTAAGGGTTCAGGGTTTAGGGTTTAGGATTTAGTTTTTAGAGTCAGGGGTTTCTTGCACGTTTGTGGCCGCCATGTGATAGACATTAATCAAGCAAGCGGGAAGCCTGACACGCATTAAGTTCTGGCAAGTCTCTGCCGTATGAGGAGCAGCTTCAAAATCTCAGGGTGTGGACCCAAGCCAGAAGATGATAGCAGCAGTGAGCATGGATACTAGTAGTGATATCTATCTTATTAGTAATTCGTATGTTTGTCAATTATTGTCATTGTGATTCTTGATTGTTGTGAGTTTTGCTCATGGTTTTTGTGGTGAATATGTGTGTTTGTATTAGTATGAGGGGCCTCCCGGCCTGCAACCTTACATGTTGTCAGGTGCGAGGAACACGCGCGGCAGCCTTGGTTACATGCGGTGAAGTGCCAAATCAAGAAAATGTAGCAACAAGGGCTCACATGCAGTGCTACAGTGCCAGTTCAGTCATTATGCAACAGTAGCTGGTGAAGGACGAATGTTAAGAAGATAGTGAGGATTATGATGGGCTCCGGTTCATTATAAGCAAGAAGTCCCAACTTGACCTTCACATTCGGACCACAGGCGCAAGTTGCCCACAGCGACGTCAAGAATAAGGTTGCAGAGGTCGCTGGGTGGCAATCATGTGCATCGAAGAAGTAGTTTGCCTGTTGGGATTAAACCCTACCTGAGTTCGAACCGGTCTGAGGCGAAAAATCGCCATGACCGGCAACTGGAGGCTGTGAAGCACGTCATGGGTACCAGCAAGAGCACAAGAGCGGAGAGCCCGGCAGGCGTTGAAGAAGAAGCGCCAACAAGCAGAGGAGAAGATAGCAGCAGACACCATCACAGGCCACAACAATCTTAGCAACAACGGACATTACCCCTGCAGATTTTCTGCAGGTGAAGCATCTTCTATGGTGGACGAGCTGATTGCCAAGGCTTAGTATGCGTTGAACCTGGGAGAGCCAAAGAAGCTCGTCACCTCAGACTTTTGCGAAGGCCACTGCAGCATGCGCTGCGGCCACAAGCACCCTCAGCTTGGGGCTGACGGGCTGGCATGAAGCGGAAGGTCCTTTTCTTCAGTGATCAGGGGTCTTGGGTAACTGGGGGTTGAGTGGGACAAGGTTCTAAAGCACCCCAGGAAAAGGCATCTGGCTGACACACTAAGTTGCTCCGTTGCTCTACGTCGCATGGCCGACAGATTCAGGCTTATAAAGCGGCATCGGGAAGGGTCATTGGGAAAGCAGTACAACGGAGTATCCTACCAAAATTGTCTACATGACTGCTTTCTTTGTGGAAGATAAGCAGGTCTCGCTTAATCACACAGGTGTGCAATGCTTGGGAATGGTGCGTCAGGGGGGACCCTCCAAGGCAGCACCGGGACGGCTGCTTCTTCCGCAACTTCACTCCAGGCCACGTACTGGGAGAACGATTGTATGGCTGATAAGACCTGCAAAGAAGGTGGCAGATCACTTTGGATGACAGCATGTAATATAACTGCTAACTGTGCTGCATCTATTTTGCAGACGTTGAGGATAACTGCTATTCATCTTAGACTAACGACAAGAGCAACATCGCCAGGCGTTGGAGCAAGTGGAGAAGGACCTGCAGTCCGTGGTAGACGCGTGCCACGAGGCAACTGCTGTGACTTGCAGTCTCTGTAAACCAAGTTTTCACATGTGTTGTCTTTCTTGCAATTTCTTGGGTACATGGATGGTCTGGGCTGCACATTCTGGTGAAGGGATACCATTGCACTCGCTTGAATGTGCCCTTTGACAGTGCGCAGGGCAGAACATTAGTAACAGAGAGCGTCCTCCTTCGGTTCCGAGGGCTCTAGGAGTGATTCAAAGTAGGGCATGGTTTTCATTCTATTGGAGGCCCCACAGCCGAAACACACAGAAGAGGATCTTCAAAGACATGCCTGAACCTGTTTTTACTTAAGCCGAGTGCAACATTATGAGTCAGGCAGCAGTCCTGGCCTTGCAGATACGGGAAACAGGATCTCTGTGGCATTTTGGCACAGAAAGCAAGGAATGCACTGCGCAGAGGGGGGTTCAGGGGCCGACTGGGGACCGGTCAGGGCGAAAGCAAGATCATGAAGACTGTCATGGAGGAGATACGGAATGCCAGCAAGGCAAGGCTTTGCTGAAGCTGTGTATTGCTCCGAGTTGGTCACGGGAGTAGCCATGCTGTGACTGCAGGGCCCGCTCTTTGATGCACGGAAGGTGATGTTCAGGTTGAAGGCCAGGGGAAGCCCTTGCCAGGAAGAACTGTGTGATGGGCAATTTCATGCCAAGGTGAAGCTGTCACCCTTGCCAAACAACTGCAAGAAGCACCTTCGGACCATCGAGGCGTGTCTCCAAGTAATATCCTAGCTTGTGCATGGTGTTTGTCTGACAAGGAGAAGAAAAAAGAGCTCCTGGACGATGTGCCGAAGCCTCCGGTCTTCTCTGGATTGTCAGGTGTTCATTCTTGACGAGTTGACTGGCCGAGGCGGCAAATGGTCGCTGACCTTCTAAGGGAGCATGTCTGGGCCCTACTAATGGGAGATATGGAAGAATTGAGTGTAAATTGCCAATTCAATTCGGGCGGGGTAGTATGAAGTAGCTCCAAAAATCTCTACAAGGACGATGGCAGAAGCACATCTTTGCAGCTAGTCGCTGACAGCTAGTCACAAGCTCGCATGCCTCGAGGCCATCAACCACGACCTGACATCGGACGCGCTGTTTGAGCAGCTCCGAAAGGGGGTTGAAGGCTTTATTGTGTCCTCCGTCATGCAAGTTGAAGCATCGCCAGATTTCATGAGGTGAGACGGAGAGTGACCAGACTGCGGAGGACCGTGTACCATCCCTACAGTTCCTTTTGCACCCTGGATATGGTTTCCCAAAATAAGGGGACCCCAATATAGACCCCAAAATACTATAGTCGTTATTATTATAGGGGCCCCCAAAAAGGTACCTGTAATTTTAGGAAGCCCCCATATGCTTAGGTAATTCCGTTCCACGCAAGCTCCGCATTCTTTGTGCGAAGATGCTCTGAGCAAGGATGGCACAATCCCCCTTGCCGCTTTGCGGACCTTCCTCCAGAACAGCCTGCTTCTCAGAAATTTAGGGTTTAGGGTTTAGGGTTTAGGGCTTCTCAGAAAGGGGTCCCCTAGATTCTACTACAACCCCAACGTATAACCCTGTTGTAATGTAGTAGTATCCATTCTCTGCTCCATTATCCCCAGATAGCCCTGAATCCTTTTTTTGTGGACTGCCTTCTGCCGCAAATCATGGTGATGGCTGGTCATAATACTAATTGTTATTTGTAATAGTAAGAGTTATAGTAATGGTTAAAGTCATAGCAGTAGTAGTTAGTAGTAGAAGAAGTAGTAGTAGTAGTAGTAGTTATTATAGTCATAGTAGTAGTAATTCCCTGAATGTCCAGGCGTCAAACTCGGCGAGTCCGAGCTTGAAGTGGCGTTGCAAGGCTTCGAGGCACAGACATTGCAAGCTTTGAAACATAATTCGTATATTGCAGTTAAGAATAGTATGACATAAAGGTGTAGAATAGTATGTAGCAGTATATAGTGGTGTAAGAAAGTATATAATAGAATACAATAGTACATAATATTACATAATGATATATAATCGTATATACTAGTATATACTCGTATATGCTAGTATTGCTAGTATATATTTGTATACAATAGTATATACTAGTATACATTAGTATACAATAGTATTTAATAGTATTTGATAGTATGCACTGGTAATGGCGGCCCTTTGCAAGGCCAGCTTGACCCGCTTTGCTCTGCTCGATTTAGTCGCTGCCCCGGCATCCTCTTGGATCTTTCGCAAAGGTATCAGCATGCTCGGCTTCTTCCTGACTTGTTGGCAAGCCAAGGTAGAAGAATACAGAACGTGTGGAGCTGTGTCGAAATTGTTGTTGTGCTTGGCACACCTTGCATGTAGCAAGTTGTGCGGTGTGGC